AAATATATTTCCATTATTGTCTCTTACCTTACCCCCCCCCCCCCTTGAAGTGCCATTTTTCAAATGTAGAAAGCTCCGTAAAGATGAAGGATCACATTTGATATTGCTCTGTACATGATTTAGATACAGTTGGTAGGCATTATCCATTTGTATTTTAACAAAAGCTCTTAATCGCTTGAATTGGATGTAGAATTTAGCATCCTTAAATTTAATCCATTTACGCCTGTAATAGTTTTTTGTTTTTATATTCTGCTTAATCTCAGAAGTAATCCAAGGTGGAAACTTCGAAGAGCTAGAGGTTATACGTACAACAGATGTATCAAATAACTTATAACTTATAAAGACAAGGATAAAAACCCTCAAGAGCAATATTTACATCTTCCTGACTTTCTAAAAAAGACCAATCCACGTTGTTGATGTCATGATATAATTTTAAAAAGTTGGCCTTGCGAAAGTTATAGCGAAGTTTTTTGCCAACGGAAACTTAGAATTGATACTAGACATAGCGTCTCATCTAGAGTCCGAAATATCCACAGCATTCACAAACAAGCAGAAAGTGTTGGCAATTTTGTTCGACATTGAGAAAGCGTACGACATGATCTGTAGGGATAACATCCTCAGAAGCCTGGTCAACCTTGGATTTACGGCCAATATTGCTCACTATGTCAATAACTTCCTTCAAGACCGCAAGTTCACTGTTCGCATTCTCTTCTGTCAAGATGCTGTAAAATGGAATACCACAAGACTCTGATATCAGTGTCACGCTTTTCTTGTTAACCATCAATAATATCTTTCAAAAAATTTCCCTAGCTACCTACAAGATCTAGAAGAATGGTCAGCAACGACGGGCCCCAAATTTTCTACTACCAAATCCAAGTGTATGTTGTTCAGTAAGCAACAAGTACAAGAGAAAGCACCTCTAAGACTAGGAAATGACAACCTAGAGTATGTAGAAGAAAATAAATTCTTAGGCTTAATTTTCGACCAACATTTGACATGGAAGCAACAAATAAATTTTATCAAACGAACGTGTTCCAAGCTTCTTGACCCCTTAAAGGTCTTAGCCCATCACAGCTCCCTAGCTGATACTGTGACACATCTCCAAGTTTACAAAATGATAATAAGATCGACTACGGTGCAGTTGTGTACTCCACCTCTAAAAATCGTACGTTGCCCCTACTTGCCACCGGTTTCTAGCTTACATTGCTTAGCAAATGAACTTCCTATCATTGATCGTTTACACTATCTTCGCCTCAGTTGTGTAGTCAATCGCTAGAAACCCGAACAATCCTCTTAGACGACCAATCTTGGAATCACCAACTGACTCAGCCCTTCAAAGTTCTTTCAGCAAAAGACTACGTAGTTACCTTCAACAGCTCGACCTACCCAATCTTTCTCAGACACTTCCTCACACCTTTGCTTCGAATCCTCCATGGGTCAATCACAAGGAGTCGGCGCTGCAGTGAAGACCTCAACCGACGTCCTCCAATTTTCACTTCCAACTTACAGCAGCGTGACTGGGGGATTATACGCTATCCTGGAAGCCCTTAACCACATCGTCAATCTGCAAGAATTCCACTTCGTGCTCTTCACGGACTCCATGAGCGCGCTGCAAGCCTTCAAGGCATTGTTTCCAGTCAATCCACTCGTACTTCGCATCCAAGAACAATTTCAGCAACTTCGACTTCAGTGCAAATAAATTCTCTTCTGCTATGTTCTCTCATATGGGCATAAAGGGCAATGACACGGCAGACGCCCTAGCTAAGGAAGCAATACTTTCAGTCAATTCGAACACGGTTGCCTCTACCTAGCACTCGCCAGGGCCAAGTCTTAATCTCACGACTCTGGCTTGGGCATTCCAGATTGACTCATGCTTATCTGTTCACACTCGATAAGGCCTCACCTCAGTGTACGAAGTGCAAGGGAATACTAACAATGGAACATATTCTACTCCACTGTACAGCATTTCAACAGAACCGCATCCGGTGGTCACTCCCACCAACACTTACCGAAGTCCTGGGTGATCTCCCATCTGTAGAAAATCTTTTGCTGTTAATTGAATTGTGGTTTAAATTTTGAAATGCTTTCGGTTAGTTTATTCAGATCAAAATATACAGGGTGAGTCACTAAGAGCGCGCTCCTGGACTATTATTAAAATTAAAAGAAAAGTCTAAGAGGAAAGTCGTACAGTTCTTCGAATACCTACCATATCCTAAAATTATTTTCAACTATACAGAATGTTGTGTTTTAAGGCGTAGCACACAACTTATTTTTTTCAAATTCAATTTTAAATGGAATACCTATGGGTATATACTTAAACAGTCTGATTGACTTTTTCTGGGCTTTATAACCATAGTTTATTTTCGAAATTCTGATGAGATGTTGTCAAGTTATTTAAGTTTTCTTGAAATTTTTTAGCGTTCACAAAAAATAGCAATAAGATTTTTTCTTAATCTGGGTTACAAAATTTACGGAGAGATAAATAAAAATACGCCCTTTACACACCAACATATTTAAAGCAAGAAAACAAAAATAGAGTAAGACTTCGTGATAAAATGCAGAGTGTTCTATTTGAAAAACTGAAAGAACGATATTTCAAAATCGCAAAGTTAATAATTTTTATAAACACTGTGTATAGTGAAATTTTATTTAATTTATGGCATAGCAAAGCGTGTATCTCTCTGTGTATATCTTTTCAGAAAATATTCTAACACAGATCGTAAAAATAACTTCAAAAAAATAGGAGGAACTCCGATACGAGTTTGAAAAATAAACTGGGGTTATAAAACCTAGAAAGAGGTTAATATCTAGGTATATGTAAAAATATATAGGGCTTTCTGTATTAAAGAAAAGACTTCTGTGCTATGGTTCGAAAACAGAATACTCTGTATAGTGGAAAATAATTTTAATGCATGCTACTCAAAGAGCTGTAGAACTTTAGTCTTTTTCCCATCTTTAATAATGATAGTCTGTATAGGTATCAGTACCAAGTTACGAAGGAATTTAAATTGTAAAATTTACTTAATTAGAATAACTGCCTTCATGAGTAAACTGAAAAATGATCTTTCGTGATTTCATGACCGGGGTAGCACCATTTGTTTAGCGTTCTTAAAATATAATGAATAGAAAATACAGATATCTAACAAACTGAGAATACAAATCTGAAAGAAACTAACCCTGCTAATACAATTATATATTTAAATAATCTGAAAAAAATTATTTAAAACAAAAAAAGTAAATAATTTTAATATTTGACGTTTAATAGTAGGTATCTACTCTAGTACCAAAGAAATATTTCTTAAAATAACTATGTACCTACCCATTTTTCCAAAAATGAAAATAAAATTTTAAGTTTACCTAGTGGAATAAGTTGCAAGAAGCTTCCTTTTGCAAAAAAATTTGAAATATAATACATGAATTAATTTTTAATACCTAATTACTTCAAAAATAACAAAATGCTTTATCCAATTCTAAAATTAAAAAAAAATCAAAATGACCTAATATTGTTTAGTAATATTATACAAGTCTGTTAAACGCCTTTTTAGACACGAGTTTAATCTTAGACAAGAGCGGAACCTAACGGAGTGAGTGTGTCTAGAGAAGTTTATAAAGTGTAGCCACTATGCTTCTTCCACGACTTCAAATTAAGTCAAAATTATTGGAACTTTATTACCCTGCGAGAAATAAAATAAAATAAAATATAAACAATTTGATAAAAAGCGACTCCAGGCCATGACTAAAAAAGCGCCATTTAAATGCGGGAGCAGAAAACATAATTAAAGTAAAACATTTTTTAATAAGGTTTTATGTTTTACATTTTTGATTTGGTTAAACTTCGCCCTACTAAGTATTCTCTATTACATTCTTTTTTTTATTCAATAAAAGTATTTATTATTATTATTTACCTACATATGTGAAAATACTAACTGAAATTGAAAAGAAAAGCAAAAACTAATTAGTTCTTGAATACCGATGAATCTGACAGTTATATTCTTTAACTATCGATGCATAAATAATTAAATTCAAATTTTTTACGACATGCCCATGATAATAAAAGACGAAAAGTGAAAACCACATAAATTAAATTCACAAAACAATATATTCGAAATAAGTGAAAACTAAAGCTGATATTCCAACATTTGCCTTATACTTAAAACAGCGAACTCCTCCATAATTCTTTCAGACAAAAAACCGAAATTTTGTTGCAAATTTATTAAAAGTACAAGTAAGTTGTCAGCACATTTGTCATTCTTATCTAGAACAACCCCAATAAAACAAGCAAACTTTAGTTTATTTTCTTCGATAAACACGTTTTTTTTCACATTTTATTTTAGATGCTACTGATTTCACTTATAAATCACCCCATATCACGATATATGAAACTATTAACAAACGAAACAGTAAGTGATAAAAGAAAAATTTTAATAAAAATACACTTACATTTTATGTGTTTTTAAAAGCAATGTTTGATTTATTGGTAATTTATTACCATAACCTAGGAAGCTTTTCTAATTGATTTTTTATTAGGCTTTTAATCGGCTTTTAAATTTAACATAAATTTTATATTAATTAGTTTACTGCTGCCTCACAAAGTAGATTATTGGAATTCTGTTACGTTTTAACTAATTAAAACACAATTACGTAAATAGGCTTTAACAAATTTGGGATACATTTAAATTAGGTATACTAAAATCGCTAAGCATAGAACGCACCTTGTGCGATACATAATACCAAAGGCGGAACTGTAATTACAGAAATGGCAATGAGGATAAGCCAATTATGCCACTAAATATTCATACATATAAATTCAACGGTAATTTACAAACCATGAACAATAAATAATAACACTTGTCATACTTACCATTAAAATTGCGCTCACATAATACATAATTGCAATTATAATTGCACCTCGTCGTATTTTAGCTATTCGTTGCTACTAAGAATAAAAGCCATACATTATATTTAATAATTTTAATACTTAACATCAGATTTGCCTTACACAATGATCTGATTTAATAAGGAACATTTATTTGAAATAAACGTTTAAAATATGTATAACTGTCTGTGAGAAAAAACTTAGTTTTAAATAGTAGAGTTTGTACTTTTTATATTACACTTAGAATCACGTTTCACTTAACTAAAGCTGATTGTCTTTAGTTTTCAGAACCAGTACAGATCCTTGGAGGAATCCTGGACTTGCGCTTCTAAACCTGCAACAAAAAAGAATTATTTATTAGCGCAATTTGAATCCGTTAGGAGGAAAAAATTAACCTATTTAACTAAATTCGAGTAGTTGAGAAAACATTTTTCGACGATTGCTACCAAAAGAACGGGATATTACTTTAAGTACTTTCTCCTGAATTTATTTCAAACAACTTTTAAATATCTATTAAAAAATTCTTCACATTTCGGAATTTGAGGCGGTCATATTTATATGTAAAGTATTGGTGCCGATATAAATAGTAAAAATAACAGACGGCATTCATTTACACGGATCAAACCGCATAAATATTTCACATTATTTATGTTATTTGTTAGTATTAATAGAGATGTCAATATTCTAAAATTTTTCTACCTGCATACGATATTTCAACTATGCAACCGTAAGGTTGTGTTGCGGAAAGCAAGAAAATCTTATCCATTTGACACACATAGCTAAAATATTAGAGGGGGAAAGGTTGAAGAAACGAAATGCGGAAAAAATGTTAGTAATAAAAATGATAAAACCGCACAATGTCGTTAAAAATTCTTAATACAATAAATATCTCGTACATGAAACAGTAGCAGAGAAAATTATTATTATTAAAGGATTAACTTATTCAATTAGTAAATGTTAGCAATAAATCTCGCTCAAGGCATGCAATTTTTTCGCCTGTCAATATCAATTAGAATTCTTGTATGTTTTCAAGGTGTGATAGTAATTAAGCGCAGAGCAGTCCGGAAATTGTATTTAAAAATGAAACGGATTTTTAATAAGAAAAATTATGCATTAATTTAGATTCGAAACTCCAAATTAGTATAAAAAAGTGTACTAAAAAATTATGTTTGATAAGAGTGCATTAAAGGAACAGCTGATGTTATATTTTTTAAACGCATTTGCTCAAAAAAAAAGGTAAATAATTTTTTTTTTTACTGTAAAAGCATTGATATTTAATTTATGATTTTCTTGGATATTTCGCTGCAGGTCTATAATTGCCATAAACTATTTTGCATTAAATTAATTTCATTAACTTTATCTCGACCAACCCACCATTACGGACCTTTGATCTAGGAAATTTGGTGTTGTAAACTTATCGTTACAACAGTTGCGTGTCATTACTTCAAACGAAAGGGAAACAAACGTTAATATTTTTAATAAAAACATGAAACGCCCTTTTGGAGCTGTGTGTTAAATTGTGCAGTTATCAAGCATTCCATTGGAATACTCGATACAATGCTGGCATTATTCTTAGCGTATTAATCGAGACTCTACATGTTGCATGAACTCTGCTGTTAGGACACACAAGACACACAGGAGAATTACTCCTATAAATAAGAAAATATCAAAATCTTAGGCTTAGAAAATGTCATGTTTTCCTCAAAAAGGTAAACTCTTGAGTTTTCTGACTTTAATTTTAAAAATGTTGCCTGTGATAATTTAAAATCAAATAATTTTTAAAAACCGAAAACCAGTTATAATTTTTGAAACAAGTTTATACAAATTGGAAATTTTTACATAGGTATACATGGTGAGTCACTAAACGCCCGATTCCCGATATCTCATTCATTGTTACAAACAGAAAAAAATTAAACACTAACGTTGCCGGGCGGGTCCCTTGACCACTATACCACAGAGCTGTTACTGTGCTGCTACAGCGATGTCCATTAAATACAATGTTAAAATACAAAGTATTTATAAAAAATCTATAACGTTACAATTTTCAGATATTGATTTTGAGATTTTTTACATAGAACACTTGCATCTTATTCATTTTTTCGATATTTTGGTGTGTTTCTTAATAAGGTAAAAATTATCGCAGTAACTATCCATTTTAAATACTTATAGAAAATTCTTAACCAGAAAGAAAGTTAACAAAAAACAGAATAAGATGCAGTAATACAATATAGGCTGTTATATTTAAAATATTTTATATTTTTTTATGAACATGGTATAATAAGACTCAATTTTATTTAAACAACAACAAATCGCGTACCTTTATTTATCTCTTCAGAATACAAATTTGTAAAATAACTCGATTGCATTTTTTTGTGAATCTTTCCATTGCTAAAAAGAACTAAAAAAAATTAAATAATGCCGCATCGTCGCACTAAAATTTCAAAAATAAGTTGTGGTTACAAATCTAATCTAATACTATTAAACGAGCAAAGTTTGTATATATGTATTTATATATATATATATATAATGGGTTTCTCGAAAACGGCTCTAACGATTTCGATGAAATTTACAGGTTAGGGGTTTTTTGTGTCAAAAAATCGATTGATCATAGTTTTAACTTCTGAAAATTACAGCTTCATGCATTTTCAGCAATTTTCAGGCAGTGAATTATATTTGTTGCTAGGCAACTTCAGATGACACTACACGAACACGAGATTGTTTGATAAGAGAAGTTTGGGTGACAGTCTGACAGTACGTTTGATGTACCTTTTTATCTTCAATTGTACGTACCGAAACATACTCCACTGTATAGAGGACGTTAAAATTCACCTTCTGAGGTGAGAAAATTAACGGAAAACTAAAGAGTGAGCGGATAAAAGGCACACGAAAGTACGTTGGATTGAGATTATTTTGTCAAGCATTCATTTCAGAGGTTTCACGGTCGGAGTCAATGTGTGATCGTTTTCCGGGATGGGACCGTGTTATTTGAGTTTTTGGGCTCAACGTTTCGCACACTTTCGTAAGTGGCATCTTCGGGAGCAGGGTTGAGATTGAGAAATTAGGAATAACGCAAAAGAGCACGGTAACTCAGTATGATAACCACACCAGAGGCGAAACTCTTCTGGCAGTAAGAATGTAGTTGTGACCTTTTTCTAGAGTCGAGAGAGAGAACTAGGAAAAAAAAGAACGACAGAGAGAAAACTTGGGTAACAAATGAAATTGTAATAAATGTCAAACAATAATTCCAGTTTTCTGTTCTTTAATCTCTACATGTCACTTATCACTGTTTAAAACAAAGACTGCTTATGGAATTTCTTTTTTAATGTGTATTTTTAATTAGCGCGTCTACTTCAAAATGCATACTATACGCATATTTATCTGTCCTAATCTGATCTAATACTACCAAACGAGCCGAGTGAAGCTCGGTCAACCAGATATTATAAGTATATCTTAACAATATAAAGAAAATGAACTAGGTTTAATATTAAAATCAGCACATCAGAAAGCAATTTTTCATTTACAACATTTAACAATCAAGTAGGTACAATTAAAAAAAGATTGCAATGTTGCGTGAAAATTGTAATAAACATTTCAATTTTTTTTTCAATAACCTACGTCAGTAAAGTTAAAAGTACACATATATCACATGTCTGTAAATTTTTGCATGACGTAATGAGGTTCTTGGAGGTGATAAAAAAATAGATACATTTTAATTAACGGTTTACCAAATCCACAAGCCTTTGCAAAATAGATTTATTTTAAAATTTACTTGCAAAATTTGACAAATGAATTCAGATATACATAGAACTATATATTTTGCAGTGAGATCAGTTTTTTAACAGTGAGGAGAAGATAAATTAATAAATTAATAAAAACATCAATAGAGTGACAAAATCAGACAGACAAAGAAACCCTATTACAATATAATATTGAAATGTAGTTTTAAAATTTTGCTGATAGCACAAAAATTGATTAATATTTTACTTATCTGTAATACTTTAAAATCTGAATAATTTTCGTACAAAAAATGTAAAATTTCTCTCTTAATACGTGATTTGTTCGAGATTTTTATCTTCACCTAAAAGTGTTAGATTGCATTATCCATTACAATGTCGCTATTGTGTGGTAATTTTGATGTAAGCTTGTTTCCAATTCATTTATCAAAGACGCCGGCGATCATATTATCGTGTAATCTTTGCATTAAGAATATTGTTCGTAAATAAAAATAATGTTTCTGAAATAGGTGTGTCAATATTATAATAACTTTAATAAGCTTTAGAACTGTCCATCAAGTTAATTCTTGTTCTACAATATCACACATATCATGCAAAGGTCCTTCTTAAATGGGCTAGGCAAAAAAAGGATCCAAAATGTCACATTCAGTGATATTCAGACATTAAAGTTCTAATGGATAAGTTGAACGCTTCAAAAACCGTCATGGAATACTTATTTACGGACAAAATGACTGGAAAAACAAGTTCTGCTGACATAGAGGGAGCAAAAACCTAGACGACAATAGTTTGGCCACAAATACACCTTGGATATTTAACTAGTGACAATTTTAATGTCACTGAAACTGATATTTTTATAAATTATTACCCAAGAAAACCATAACATTTAAAGGAAAAAAATTGGTTGGGAAGACAGTCGACCAAAGAACAGTTGACAATTTTGTGCTTAATTTATCACATTGAGAATGTTTCCAAAGCAGCCGATCACATAGATAATCATAAACTGAGACTAGTCCAGGGAACTGAAGAAAACATTTGAGAAAATAGAAGCAGCTACACAGAAAAAAAAAGCGAATATGAAAAAGAAATGGACTTACAGCTGACGAAATACTTATAAAATGGAACGATATAGGTGAAGAATGAAGTAAGGCAAGACGAGCAATAGAAAACACCATAGGGAAAGTACTGGACAGAGGAGTAAAAGAGAAAAAGACTGAATTGTTCGATAATGAATGCAAAGAGATAATAAAAAAAAGAACATAGCAAGGATTAGATATTTAAAGACAAGAACAGAAGAAAACTACAAAGCATGTCAGGAAATTACGAAAAATAGCACAAAATTACGGAAAGACAAGAAGATGAAGTGGACTGAGGAAATAATGAGGGAGCTGGAAGAAGACAGTAAGAATAATGTAAAGCTGTATAGAATTATAAACAAGCAACAGACAACAAAGTCTATAAAAACTTATTAACCTCAGAAAACGTCGTGGCAAATTATGTAGAAAAAGTGACAAATCGGCTATACCTACTGTTTGCTAAGATAAGACTAACTTTGGCAAATCACACACTCTCTAAGAAAATAGAGGGCGGGTGGGCGGGGCTA